ATTAAGATATAACTAGGTTACTATAGAGATATAAAGCGGTATGTTCCAGGGAATAGACATGTTTATTTTGTTTTCGTACAAGTGCCTCATTCTCAGAGACAGGAACTGTAATCTTGGCTCTTAGGTAAAAATCCATTGAGCTTACTTGTAAATGTGGTCCAAGTGCAATCTTCTCTTTTGAGATGCTTTCCATTGCAGAGTTTACCTGCGTCTGAGTGTCTGGGTTAGCTGTTACTGATAATGAGCGTCCCTTCTAAGGCATGCTTGTTTCGTGGCTGTGTAACTGTGCCCCCGTGCTCTGGTAACGTGGGTACTGGAACTTCTGCAGCTGCATCCTTTGATATTCGGTGTTGCGTTATGGATTGTTTCACTGCAAGCTGCCGTGGGAGTCACTTGTCTGTCCTTCCTAGACCCTAGGTAGAGGTGTTCTTAGCCCATCAGCATGGCTAACTGAAGTCCTTCCGCTGAGACGTGAGTGGGAGAACCAATTAATAGCACTTATTTAAGGTGGGGTGCGAGCTGGAGGGGTGCTCATTTAATACTGCTCTGTGCTAAACCATCATCAAGCAATAGCAGTTCTCAAACATTTGCCTCAGTTGCTTTCAGGCGTGTTCTGCCATGTGGAGAGGACATCACTCTCCTTTTCCCTCGTGCAGTTACCTTTATGCTCCCAAGTCAAATATATGGCCAGAGTTTCCCTCTATGTCCTGAAGTTGGATTATTCCTAAGCTGCCTTATGTTTCATGGTATTCTTCTGAAGCCTGGCTGAAGGTATTCTTTTTAGCAAACTTAGTTAGACCTGTTTATCCATTGGAGGCAAAAGCACTGGCATAGCCCTTCCCCCCCCCACCCTCCCCACCCATGGGATGGAGGAGAGAAAAATATGTGATGTTTAGTGTTCTGGGTATAGCACAGGTCTGAACATTGTGTTCTTTAATTTAGTATGTCCTTCTGCTCATTAAGGAGTAATTGCATCTCAGTTCATCAGTGTATCAGGACAGACCGTACGTTAGGATTTATAAACTAAGTGAACACTGAGCAGAGGGTGTCTTTCAGTCCCTCTGTCCATGTAGCGCGTTCTAGCTGCTGGATCTTTTTTTGGTTTCAGGAGATGTTGCATTTCCTCTGTTTCTTTGCCGGATTAATTTTTTCTGGCTCCGCTTGGCTTCATGCTTGGTGCAGTGTTGAACACCTGGTCAGAATTGTTATAGTTTCAGGGAAGATAAATGGTGAATTTCCAGACTTTTTTCCTACCTTTTTTTTTTTTGTTGTTCTTTTTCTACTCTTTCTCCTTACTGGTAATGTTTTTGGACGCGTCCTCCTTGACTCCATTACTTTGTTACTGAGAATATGAAGAAAATCTGTTTGCAGCGTTAAGTTTTGAACAGTAACCACTCTTTCTCCTCTGTTGCCCCTACAGACACACGTGTGCGCCCGCGCACACAGACAGTATTGCCTGTCAGGATTGCTGCGTGTCAGCGCAGCATGGAGAAAAATGTAGTATTGAGTGTGGCCTGATGTAAAAATCAAAGATCAACTTCACACAGTTTGATAGAAACTATGTGCAAAGTAGTGTTTGTGGAACATAAAGTTAATAGTAGATGGGTGACTGAAAGAGAAGGAGCAGCACAACTTTACTGTGTTTGGTGTAAGAATAATATTGCCATATTAATAGTGGAACTGCAATAGTCATGGAAATAAAACAACAATAAAATTTTCCCTCTGTGCTTTTATTCCTTTGAAAATAAGTGTTGAAGGATAACATTGAGCATGTTTTCTGTGTTAATGTATTTTAAATGGTAAGTGTTATAGATAGACTACAGCATTATGCAAAATTTGTAAATATATATTTTAGACGGGTGTTTCCTTTGAGCCACTCATCTTGCCCTACACGCAGTGATTACTTTGTTTTTTTTTCTTACCTTTTTTTCCTCTGCTTAATGTATAGGGGATTTTTTTCTTTTTTTTTCTTTGTAGCTATAAAAACATAAATTATTCCTAATGCAGTTCTTCCTTAAACATTCATTGTACACTAGTAGGCTTAGCAGAGATGGGATCACCAGGGGAATGGGTGACTCAAGCTTTTCACACTGAGTCAACAGTCACAATGAGTAGATTCATACACTTTTGGCGTGTAAGTACAAGCTGTCACTTCAGTCCACTCAGTTTTGTTGATGAGTTTTTCCAGAATTAATTCAAGCGTAGTGAAGTATTGAAAAGTAATGTGACCTATGTATGTGGTCTGCCTGGGCATAGTTTTGAGGGAAAGTGTGTAGGTCTTATGTTACCTGCTTTCACGGTGTTAACGCTCCCAGTTAAGAAAGCAGGCAGGAAATGTGTGTTTCATGTTTGCTTTGCGTCAGTTTCTTTTTGAATAATTTATGTCAATGATGCTAAACAGATGTATTTTATATAATGCATAGCTTGTATCTCAGTTTCACAGCCAGGCAGTATTTCACTTTGATGAGAGCTGGCTGCGTCTTTGTGAAGACCTGAGATTTTCGGAGAGATGTTAGTGGTGAAATAGTTCAAACGGCAGTAACGCAGTGTTGGGCTGTGGAACTTTCCATCCTATGAGCAGGATATACCAAGCTTCTCCTGTTCTTTGCTCTTAGCTTTAAGAAAAAAAAAAAAAAAAGTCCTTGAGCTTTGTTTAAACACTTCAGCCCATGTTTAAGGGAAGTGATGCACTGTAGCTCCAACTGACAAATTCTGTGTCACTCCAAACCCCTGCCAGTGCCACCCTTACTGTGATGGGACTGAAACCTGGGTAGTTGTGAACAGCAGTAGCTGAATGTCATGATAGAGAGATAAATAAATTTCCTCAAACTAGATGAATGTTTTACTTTATTTCATTTTTATTTCATTCTTTGTTCTGCGGTGGAGGCTCCCACAGAATTTGGATACTTCATGCTGCTACTTCCCATTGGAGAGATGCACGTGGATTATTTTCATGTCAGCTCTATCCAGTGAAACTTGATCATGTTGCTAGGCTTCCTTTTTTACAGGAGAACGATCTAATGACTGGATTTCATCCACTACTATCGCATAAATGAATAGTCTTCTAAGCTCAGATGTCGCCAAGGTGGCGACTGCTTAGTGCAGTCTTTTTCCTATTGTTAAAGGTTTATCAACAGGATAAAATCCTGCGTCCTTGGCTGACAGAAGAATTAGTTATATCTGGTCAATGTATTTGAGATCTTGCACAAACTGTTTCAAACTGTTGTTTAATGAGGGATTTACTCCTATTCATCATCTGACAGTGCTTTTGTCAAAGGTTCAGCTGTAGGGTTTCTGCCAGAGTGCAGGCTTTTTTTCCTAAGTTCCTGTCTAAAAAACATCTCTGGTGGTTCATGCAATTGCCCATGGTTAGCCTGCCTTTGGGCTGATGGAAAAATTGGACCATTTCTGCTGGTGTTGCAGCTTGTAGTAGTGAAGACGACCAGCTCTCTTGGCACCTCTCCAGAAGAGCATGTTCTGGTGTGCCAGTGAGATAGTCTAAAAATAGAATTACAAGGTGGAATAGCTGTTTACGGATTGGGTGGTGGCACAAGGTCAGGGTTTTGGGGAAGATGGCTGTGCCTGGAAGTTTTAATGAGCTGATACTGTCTCCTTAAGCAGATCGTGGTTGCTGGCAGATTTATAGTTCAGAGTCTTTTAGTTCAGTTCAGCTTTTAGGGAGGATACAGCTCAAATAGGCAGCTTTTGTGCCTTGGTAACTGCTTTTCAGTGAACCTACTCAAATAATTCTCCAGGTCACATCAAGCAGTGCTGATATTTAGAGTAATTTCAATAATGTGGTGAGCCTTAGAAGCAGAGACTTATTGGCAACTTGCTCTTCAAGTTTGGTGCTATAGTGTCAGCTGTTTGTAAAGACTCCAACATGCGTGAGCCTTTATTGTTACCCTGCTTTTAGCACCAAAGTATGATAGCATCCGTTTGAGACTGTCTACCGAGAGGTTTCATTGGCAGTCCAGGTTTAAGCAGAAACTTCAAAATATTTCTTGAAGGTTAAATTTAATTGTTTCCTTGTTCTCTCTCAACTGTTATGGAAGAGTAGCAACAAAGCTTCAGCCAGTTTTCCTTTTGTTTCGTCCCCAAGCAGCAAGTCCAAGCCCAAAGAAGAAAAGTATAAACGAAGCGGAGCTGGCCTTTTGTGTGCAGCAGAGGTTTCCTTGCCTTGGCCTCTCATCAGAGCTGTGTTTGTTTGCTGCGAGGATAATTTGGCTCACCTTTAAAAAGTTAAAGGTCAGCTGCACCTGAGGAAGCCCCTGCTTGGCAGTGACTCCTAGAAACTACCCTCAGCTCTTTCTGGACAATTAGCCTCAACAAAGCTATAGGCTTTGCTTTTCCTCCCTCAGGCTTCTAGGATCCCTGTGTGATTTGATGCGCTGCAGAAAACTCTGGAGAGATCCCATCACAGTACTCACTGTAGCATGTTCCTTAACAACAAGGTGGATGGGTTTTGCTTTTGAGCCAGCGTGTGCCCCATTAGTGCAGGTCTGCAGAGCAACTTATAGTGTTTCTGTATTCTGGTACCAGAATATATAAATCAAGCTAGCCAGTGATAGCTTTTTTTAATGGCTTTAGAATGTCTTTAAAACAGTCAAATACTGTGAAGTTTGTCAAACAAGAGGTGACCAAGTAAGGCTGCTCAGAGAGATGTTGTGGCAAATGAAATGAAAGCTTACGTAAAGTTATCCACTATCGCAGTATGTGTTAGTGTGCATGCGCATTCATATACAGGAGCTGATGAGCCTCTGGCAGGGAGCTTTGCAGAAGCTGCAAATATGTTTAGTGGAAACGAAATCTCGATTCAGTTCTGCAGCATGTGACTTCCTATTTCTGTAAGTTACTTCCAAGGGACTTCCTCTGCTACATCGGCTCGTCTCCAGAGATTTCATCTGGAGCCGTAGCGCAGCTTGCTTTGTCCTGTGCCTGTGGCAGTTTTCCCAAAGTTTTCTTTTTAGTATTTTATTTTTCTTTTGTACTGTCTCCAGCATGCAAGGATCTAGTGGCTGCTACCCGTGATCGGAAGCTGAACACATTTATACAAGTCTCAGTTGTGCATCCAGCAGAGCACGTTCTGACGAGGTATTCGAGCACTGAAATCGTGGAGGTGAGCGTCTCTCTTTCTCGATTAACACATTGATTAGCAAATTGCTCGTTTTTTCTTTAGCAACTGAGGGAGAAATAAAGCAAGTTAGTGCATTGCCCTTAGTAAGGCGAGCACGCTGTAGCTGTTAGCAAAGCATACCTGAGAGTGTTCTGTAGTTCTTGGCGTTTAACCAGCACAAACAGTTAGAATTGAACATGCCTTTTCATGAAAGGTCTATTTTTCCAACCAGAGACATAGAGAATAGTCTGGTTCTTTAGACATGGGTTTAGAATGAAACATGGAGTAGTGGTTCACGTGAAAGAACAAGGCTATGTAAAATAGAGTGCAGAGAGACTGCCAAGTGTTTTAAACTGTAGAAGAACATAGTTGCTTTATTGTAGCTTGCTATCCTTTCTGTTTTTTTTTTTTTTGTTCCATTTTTTTCCAGTAGAAAGTTGATATTTTTGCAACTTGAAAAACTTTTTCTAATTATAAAAGCAGGCTAAAGTGTGTGTATGTGAAATGACTATGACTATATATAAAATTATTTGTAAATTGTGTTATGTATTGTAGCAAAAGTTGTTTTGAGGCTGCTTTGCTAGTCCTCACTTTTTCCAGTAAGCATCCATGTTAGAAACAGGAAAAGTTATGTTTACAAAGAAAATTATTTCAGTCTGAGCAGACAATGTAGGTGTGACTTGTTCAGCTTACTAGAGGGGTTACTTAAGAACAGGGAAGTCTTATTGCAAACACTCGCCCAAATTTACTTGATCAAAGACTTATTTTAGCTGTTAAACAGTGAGACTATTTCATGAGCTCTTTGTGCGGTCTTACAGTTTCAACTGACTACTAATTAAATTGTCATGGTTTCAGCCATCAGCCATCCTGGAACTGCTAAATTCAAATATCTAGTATCTGACGAGGATGTTTCATTGCAGACTGTCTGGAATGATGTGGTGTAGAAGATGGAATAGAAGATGGATTTTTGGGGGTGGGGGAGGCAGAAGCAGATGCATTTTCTAATGCGGTGTCCTATACTTGCATTTTCTAATGCAGTGTCCTGTACTTGAATAGATCCTTGAATTTGTTATGTTCAGACTGTCTGTTTTCTTAGTCAAGCTTTTTGGGGAGTTGCAGGGGCAGGTTTACTGAAAAGTAATTTTCATCAAGTAAAAGTTATATTCATCATGCAAAAGCCTTTATTTCACTTAACAGAAAACTTAAGAATACTGGCCTAAACTGTAATGTTTGCAAACTTTTATATTACAGTTAAACATTAGGAAATTATAAGCAATTTTTCAAATGATTAATTTAAATGTTTCTGTATCTATAATATGTATAAAAATGTTTCTATCTATAGTATAGTTGCTTCTCTATAAATCCATTTTTATATATAATATTACAAAATGGATATAATATTGCAAAGCAAAGGATGTTATCATACTGAACCAATATATTATTGCTTAAAGAGAGGAATTCTGCTCCCCAGCGTCAGTACCCTTCGTGATATAAAGGGAGTTTCTGTAGCTTGTAGTGGCTACCTTGAACTATTCTGTTGGTATCAGCCTATGCAGCTTGGGTCGCACCTGGAGTTGAACGCATACCAGCCGATGAAAACTGTCAAAATAATGAGGCTGGTTTGGTTTCATTTACTTTAGAATTCACTGGTTACAAAATTGAGCTAATTGTAAGGAAGATACTTAAATGTACTGATGTGTATGTGTGTGCACATGTAAGAGTGTATGTATGTATATAAATATATACAGATATAAAAATACATATGCGCACATGTTTACACATATATTTGTAAATGTACATTTATATGCACATGCCATAATAATCCTGAGTGGATTTTTATTGTGATTAAATTAACTAAGGTATCCTACACTTTTCATAAATTACATCTTTAGTTCATTTAAATTAATGTGAAACTTAAATTACTTTGAGAAAGAAAGCGTGATAGGAGGGAAGGGTATTGTTTATTACAGACCACTCTTCCAAACACTGATATCTGCTGGCTGAACTAGCTGGCATTTTGTTATCTGCTACACTTTGTTTAATGAGTTTAAATTTTAATGTTGTCCAGTTTTATTTCTGACTGTGGGTAACATTTAACTATTCATGTCTCTCTCACCTGTAGAAAACTAACTTCTTTTAAAAAGCCCATAGTTTCTCTACATGCAGCCATAATTGCATACTGCATATTGCACAGCTGCTACCTTACTGAATGTTTGCTTGTGTTACGCAGGGAACAAGAGACCCGCTGTTCTTGACTGGTGTGACATTCCCACCGGAATACCCCATCTATGAGGAGACTAAAATAAAACTAACAGTGTATGATGTCAAAGATAAATCTCAAGACACGGTAAGTGATTTGCCTCGTTCCTTGCATAGATTTTATTGGGGATTAACTTTCTCACAGAGTTGTTCTTCAGCCCTCTGAAGCAAGTCTGCAAACTGGGGAAACAGGGTTATGTAGAATTGATTTTGCTTGGTTTTGGACTTTAATTTTTTTTGTCAGTGTATTAGAAAATAGAAAGAAAGAACCAGGTGCTTAAAATTAACTATATTCTATTGTTTAATTGACTGCATGAATCAGCAGAGATACTTTCAGCAAACAAAAGGTTACAGTTGTGCGCTTTCTGATGGCAGGGAACACATGGACGAGACTGACATAATAATAACACTGTGAATAATTTTTCAGAAATATGTTACTGATCATATTTTGCTTATGCCAAAAGTGTGATGGTGATAAAGCCTGTAACTTGATGCTTGGGAGCGACGGTTGTGTTTTGTTTTAGTCTCTTGCATGATGATACGTGTAACTCTCCTATGGCTGCTGCTATTTTTGGTTTGTAAGGGTCGAAGATCTTCTCTTTGACTCCGAAGGGCGAATCATTTGGAGTTCCACTGTTGCATATTTTTAGTTGTGCTGTCAGCTTCTTTTGCTGAGAAAGTTACTCACGTGAGATGATATATGGAGGTCAATGGGACTGTTAGTGAGTGGTTTAAGCATCTAAACGTAGGCCTTGAGTCCTGTTTTATGTGCTCCAGGAGATCTAAGCCTTACAGAGCTGGAAGATATGATAGGACCTATGGGAGATCTGCATTATTTTTCTGTGGCAGCAGGAGTCCAGCTTTTACAGATTTCTCTCAGGCATCCAAAATAGCACTTGACACCTGTATTTAAGTAGCTGAATTGCTCTTTATATATCTGTATTTGGCCCCCAATATGGTCAAGGACTATATGATTTGATGTCATGACTGTATATGAGTCATTATGCATAAGAAGGAAATTAAACGTATAGCTTAGAACTTGAGGCTGTCTTTGAGCTGCTTACGTTAGTAAAGTTATGATACGATGTTTAGAAGGGCTTCTAATTTTTTTTTCCAAGGCAGTAAATAGTTGATGTCCGCTTTTTTAAGTTTTGGACCTTTGTGAGCAGACTGGTTGGACCTTTGGTTCCCCTCTGTGCAGGGGAATGGGAATTAGTGGAGTAGTTGAGACATAAAATCTGAATTTCTTTCGTTGTATGGGCCAAGGAGTCTTTCTTCTGTTTAAATTAAGAATAGCCGCTAATTTAATAAAATCAGAGGTTATAATGATGAAGCCCAAAATTTGTGTATATGAACACACGCAAAAGCGTGTGTGTGAGAGAGTGTGTAGCAGAATGTGTGTGCTTTAATTTTTAGTTATGGTTCAGACTGCGGAGGCTTAAAACGGGATCTGCTTGTTTCTTCACTAGAACTGTCACCCTTGGACAGATAGAGACAATGAGTGAGAAGGCGCTTGACTTTGTCCTTTCCTTCCCGGTTCCTAAGTTCTTGTGGCAGACAGCATGATGGATAATACTATCCCATCAGTAAGGGAAAGCAGGGGCCTTGATTCATAGAGCTGTCCCTGCACTGCTGCTCAGTTTGCAGACCTATATACTGTTCATGTGCGGGACAAATTATGAAGGAAGATCTAGCCTACAAAGTGAATGTAATTTGATAAGTTTTTGCAGATTTTTGAGAACTTCTTATAACTGTTCCTTACTATTTTGTGCAGGGGTAGGGTCTGTCCCAGAGAATTCCATTAACATAGCTCATAAATCTCGAGAGGGAATATTTTTCTCTTTTAATTGTTACAGCATTTATATAGTTTCTATGTAAAATGTTACAGATCTATACTGTACAGTACACTTCTGTAGCGGAAAATGTTGATCCCGTCTCTGTGTTAGATGCATCTAGCCTTTCTGATGTTTAGCTTTTTTAGCACTGGCTGTAGGTAAGGAGAAAATAAAATAAACTGTAAGATGTAAATCAAGGTTGATTGCAACATATGTGAATGATCCTGGGCCACCCACATTGGGACTTCATTTATAGTAGTGTTTGGACTTCTATTTACATCCTGGAATATCAGCTAGGGCAAAGTCAATGACTTGACTTTCCTTTCTATAGGTGGAAGCCATCACAGTTTTTTATTAATTCAAGTGATTTTTTTTCTTTATAAAAATAAAAGTTAACTGAGCTAGCTAGGTGCCATTACCAAAGTAGTGGTAATTGCATGAATCTCAATGCTGGCGTTATGACCCAAGAAGCTGGGTATGTCTCTTTGGGAGTGAGCGTTTTGGAGGGCTGTGGATTTATGTTTAAGACTGGGTAATCTGTAAGGCTACAGAAAAGCTGGCTTGCTTGGGTCACACAAACTGCTGCGACAGCTTATGACTGCTGCACACGGCCAGCCCCACCACCCTCCGAACAGCAGCAAACAGGTAACCCGTTTGGAGAGGAGGGAGAACAGTCTAAGGCTGTTAAGTTGGCTGTAGTATTCGAAGTTATGATCCAGACCAGCCAGATTTGTCACCTGCTCTTATAAGTGAGCCTGAGCAAGTCTCGCACATAGGTTCCACAGCACTTCTGGCAGCAGCAACCTTGGACTGGACTGCAAAATATTTTGCAGAAGTTGGGCAAGAAGCTGCGGTAGTGAAATTCCCATGACGCCAGGGCTATGCTGCTGCCAGTACTTGACTTACTAGTTTAAAGTAGCTGAAATCCCTCTTCGTGCTGCAATTCAAATATATGCTTAGTTATTCTGTTCTTATTTCTCCTGTAATTAAAATGAAACTCAAGGAATTGAATTCTGTGCATTAATTAAAACCTGAGCAGGATTTTGCTGGCGCAAATAGGGGCCTGTAGAGAAGGTAGGGAAAGGACCAGAGTGGGGGTGCAGATCACAAGGTGAAGCGTTTGCTCGTATTTTGCTTAAACGTACTTCTGTCTGTGCAAGAGGAATAGGCCTCATTTTCAAACCTACGGGTACTTCTTGCCATAATTCCATAGAAATTGGCTCCAGAGCAACGACCTGCGGGAGCAAACTGAGCAGCATCCAAAGGGGCTGCTGCCCGGTGAGAGAGGATCACAGTGGGTTTGGCCCTGCTGATAGGCTGTTTGTGCTGCCATTTTTGAACAGATTTAAAAATAGCTTCGCGATGCCTGTATTCCTGTATGAGAAAGCAGATAGTTGACTTCACTCTTGCCTGTCATTTAACTCACATTTATGTAAGAAGAAGTACAGCTTAATTATATTTAAGTACTGTGCAGCTGGGATCGCTTTCACTGTACTTGACACGCTGAAGGTTCTAGCTGCCCTTTTTTCACTTTTTATGCGTGTCTGTCTTATGCTGGTCACAGTTATATCTTGGCTATGTCAGATTTTCTGTAATTGAGGCTTTTTAAATATACTGAAACCCGATCTTTGTTGTTCTGGCTAGTCTGCCTAGGTTAAGATGATTGTTTTGGTTATTGCAAATTTTCATACAAATGGAAACTTTAAAAAGGCTATACTATTTTTAGTTTACTTTGATATAGCTGTAATAAGGAAGTTAACACAATGTGGTGAGAAAATATTATTTAAATGTATCCAGTGAAGCTGTGCCTACAAAGGAGTAGGTAATGCCATGTTCTGAGAAATGTACAGTGACATCTGTTTCTACATCACAAAGGTTTTCTTCACATATTGCCATAAGCCAGTTTATTAATGTTTCACTGACTTGAGTCGCGTGGTCTTTAAGATTTGATAGTTGAGCTTTGTCTTAATGCTTGGGCTGCACCTGTCCTTTAAATCATTGTCCGAGAAAATCAGAGTAAAGGCTCATAATATATGTTGTTAAAATATTAGCTGTACTCCTTGTGTAGAGGCATGCTGTTAGCCTCTTTGTAAGCGTGTGCGTTTGCCTGACTTACGCAGTAGGTCAGGTCCCCTCCTCTTACCCTGCGCCTGCAGAGGAGTTGGCAGCAGGGGACAGGAGCCTCCGTGCCAGCTTCTGGTGTTTGGGCTCTATTCCCCTTCCCTTTAGGAAGAGATGGAAACCAGGAAGCTTAAGAGTAAGCTTCAAAAGCAGAAATTTTGTATACACTTAGGATTACGGACTTAACTACTGATTTTCCTGCTTAAATGCCAGCAGGTAAATATAATCTCCTTTGGATAGATACACCCACTGGGATTCACGTGTGGCATTCAAGTTATAAACAACCATCCCAACACTTATCTCCTGAGAGCAAGGAGAAATCAGGCAATTGAGATGCCACACAGTCTACTGTCTGGTCTCGCGTTTCTTATTTCCCCAGTTTTCCCCGAACAACTGAGAACAAAATGAGATCAATTCGTTCAACAGTTTTACGAGTGATATAGGTAGAAATCGAGCTTTGATTATGGGAACATGCATTATAAAGTGACAGTTTTAGAATAATTAAGCTTCAAATTACTTTTTTTCAACTGTTCAGGTCTGAATATTCTATTAAACTCTCGCACTATGAATGAAAATGCACAAACGGTTGGTCTTCATTTGTTGCCATTCGGTTTCTTGGAATTGCAAGTATCCCTGTTAAAACTGAGTCCCATTGGGGTGAGTGGAAGTGAAGACCTTCTGCCATGAGGGAGGCATTGTAGTAAGTCAGGTCTGAAGCCAAATCTGAAGCGACAGCGTTGAGTGTTCCCGGGCAGGCGCCGCTCCCTATCGTAGAGCCACCGTGCGGTTTGGCATGGTTTGCCATCTCTGCTGAAGAGGCCCACAGCTTGAATAGTAGAGATGCTGCTGAGCAGCATGTGAAATGCATTAGCAGAGATAAATGTGAAAGCTTGCGCATCACCTGTTTCCCTGCCTGTAGCAAATGCTCTTGGTTCCTCACTCCTGTGAAATGTTAAGAAGTTCTCCTTTATTTAAAGGAAAAATGCTTTACACTATTTTTTTTATTGTTTTTACACTTTCCACTTTTTTTTTGATTATTTGTGAAAGACTTAAAGGTTCTCTCCCTAATTTTATAGCAGAAAAAGCATTCTTTGGAAATGCCATTTCTGGCTGGAATATTTTTAACGTTAGT